ATGAAGTGTGAGCCCCATCCGTTTTGGTATGGAACGCCCCATATACGTGTATCTCTTCATAAACACGTACGTGAACGTACATACTTACATACACACGTGCAAAATACATTTTTTTTTATTCCATTTGCTCCACTCCCTCGTTGACGAGCAAATAATGCAATTGTACGTACATATGTTGTGATGTCAACCCCGCATGAGTAATGCGATTTTTTTGCCCTCCATGCAACACACTAGATACTTTTTTATTCGGGGTCATACCCACGTACAAGGCGACTATTATACTCGTACATAAATACATACTAAAGCATGATTTTATAAAGCTGTAAAAATTGAATGTCATTTTATAGCAAAAACGGAAATGATTTCGAAAACATAAAGAAACACTTTTACAAGCTAGTAATGGCTACCTCCGTCTGGCGAGCGGATATTCGAAAGTGTAAATACTATTGACTCTTTGTTTGTTTGATGCATTACATTTTGGTGTTCTGCCTTTTGGAAATGTGTTTTCAGGTGCAAACATATGCACATACATAAATATATGCGTGCATGTATGCGAAGACGGAAGGAATTTTTTGAATTGATAATAAACTTAAACTAAATAGTTACTTGTATTTTTGCCTAGGCTCACGGGGGTTTAAGTAGTGATACATAAATTAAAATTTTTCAAAATCAATGCCAGCAATTCGGAGTTGGTTTATAAAAAATAATTATTTAAAGGATGTACCATACTAACGGAAATCTAGCAGACCTCCTTTATCCGACCCTTTGATGGAAAATATATATACAGTCCTCGATTTAACCCTCCGCGAGTGTGCCAACTGCGATGTCGGGACGGTATCCAGCAGAGATCAGGTGTTAAAGCTCTTCAAAGCTCTGCCATACGGAAATAGTCCTTTATCATGGTCGTGAAGCATATGTACAGGGGTCGCATCAATTTCTTGTGCTTTGCGTGCTGATGATCGGCCAGGCAGGGGACCCCTAAATAGCGTATCGGGAAGTAACGGTGGCCTTACCGAGGCCAGAGACGCTGCTACGGTGGATAACATTTTCCCCACAGCAAGCAGAGAAGAAGAAGATAGTGGAAGAGAAGCCAGACAGGTAGAGTGAGTTGCTCGCAAGAGTTTTCAAGGGAGATGCGATAAGCGAAGACTCGAACCTGAACATGCCCGTTGAGGGTGCCAATTCCGTAAGAAAAAGGGAACCGTTAGCTAGTTCCGCAAAGGAAGAAACGAAAAAGGGCAATAAATTGCGTAATTGAGAGGGGAAAAGAGCCTTATTGCAATACAGAGTGGCCCTCAACATTATTGAAAGCCTGGGAGCCGAAGTGGATCCTACGGACCGAGAAACTGAGCGCCTGGAATGGGCTAGGGAAGCTGTGCAGTCGGGAAGAAAACGGTTTGACAACTAAAGATTCACATCCAGTAACCCCAGATACGCAAACAGCATCGATGAGCCGCAGGTTAAGCTTTGGCACCGGATGAAGCGATAGTGGTTAGCGATAGGTGATTAATCCACCACTAAGCGACACAAGATCAGCAGGGGAGAAAGTTTGCCGACGATGAGGCAGGCAAAAGGCGGTAATTCGGCGATTCTAAAAGCCTATGGACTAGCAAGCTGCTGGTCGTAGGTAAGAGCTGCAAAACAAGCACAGTGATGACCTAGGCAGTGACGCCTAGGCAGAATAGTAACGAAAAAGCTGGCGTTGCGCAGGAGATAAATGGGCAGTAACTCACCGTGGCGCTTCTGGCCCATAGCGGGCCCTATATTTATATCACCACCGAAAGATGGAAATCTGTAGACAGAGAGCTGCTGAGCCAGACGATTAAGAAGATGCATGAAAGGCCGGGCCGGCCATTGCCTTCTTTCGATGCAGCAGGTTGGGACATTCAGCTGGTTAAACGGAGTGGTAAGTAACCTCCGAAGACACAGTGAAGGGCGGTAAGAGGTGGTGGATAGGGCCCTGATCCGCAAGATACCGAAGGCCAAGGTATGGATCCCGTATGTGGGGAAGGCAGATAAAGCTTTGTGGTTACTGCAGAGTCAACATCCGAACATACCGTCACGAGATTGAAAACTGATCCACATTTAAATGCCTACGGAGGAGGGACAGAATTATATCCTGAAGATCATTGACGACGCGGAGGACTTACTTTAGCCGGAGCAAGGAAAAATGTCATAGGGTATGGGAAGCGTCTATCGCTGACTCAAAAAAGGAAGGCCAAAGGACGACAATCAAAACACACTTCTTTCAGAAACCGCAGGTTGTGGACAGGTTGAGTTCACCCAGGTCGGTTAGAAACGTAAAAGACCTGGAAAGATTGAACGATTGCCCGTGATGCTTCTAGGCAGGCTGAGTATAGGGATGTTCTAAGGATCTGCAAGAAATCCATGCGTAGTGAGAAAGGAAACGTATGCCGGAATTTCTGCAGAGGAATCGAAAGCTCCAGCCAGGCAACAATTCCTGGATTCTTGTGTAACCCAGAGATTCACTAAAAAGGATGACGGCGAGTGGACTCAATGTGACTAGGAATCTCTCAATTTATTATTACAGCCTCACTTCCCTGCGGTCTAGAATCCAGGTACCTGAGGTCTGCCTGATGCTGAGGCATTCATCGGAAAAGATCGTAGCTTTGTAAGAACTATGGAATCTGTGGTGGGCTTTGAGCTCATTTTGGCAGTATAAATCACTGGGTCTAGGCGCCATATTTCCTGCGATGTTGCACAAGGCGGTTAAGAAGACTAGAAATGTTTCGGCGCAGTAGGGTAGGCATAAACCGCAACCAAACCGGTTAATATCTGTTCGTTACTTTGGTCGCTGGTGGTCTAGAAGATACGGAATATAATGGAGGTTGTTCCGCCGAAACTACTATACATGCGATGATATTTCTGTCATAGTAAGCGGAAATGTCTGTCTACACTTAGCTAACTTATGAGCCAAGCACTACGGGATATACATCTTTGGACAATCGAAGTGGGCTTAGTGTCGACGCAGAAAAGGTAGATCTGGTACTTTTCACCAGAAAACACAAAGTTTCGCACTGGTCTAAGCCTAAATTGGATAGGGTGACCCTCCAGGTAAAGAAAAGCATCAAGTACCTCGAAATAATACTCCATAGTAAGCTGTTTCCTATGTGTATCGTATGGTAGTCCAAGGCGCTGATAGCCACTTGGGTGTCTGAGTAAATGTTAGCCTTCCTTAATGACAGCAAGCCTAACTACAGGCAATCGACAGCTTCCTTAATAGCAGCAACTTCCACCTGAAAAACACTACACTGATATCGAAGCCAAAATTTAAGGTTGATGGAGAGTTTACTGGAAAAACCGACGCTGTAGTCAAGCATCGACCCATTCGTGTAAAAGTTAACCAGGGCATCTTTCCAATCACTGCCCCGTGCAGAACGGGCCAGCTGGTGCCAGAATAGATACGTAGTAATTCGTGTTATCAGGGATACAATTGAAGCCTCGGAGAATACTTGCGCGTCGCAGTCACGCGGCCAGTGCTCCTAAGTATAATAGCCCAATTCTGTACAGGTGGCAACATTTTTTTTACTGACAAATTTAACATTTTTCATATGTTTTTCAGTAAAAAAATTATTTGTCAGTGATACAGAAAAGAGCCATAACTGCTACGCACGCTGCAGCTGCTTTTCCTATAATATCGACCGGCGCTAATGTTAAGCATGAAATAGAGGGCTAAGGTAAGCGTGGTCCTAAGTGCATCAATGAGTGCCGGTCTTTGCACTCGCTCCTTCCTAGCCGATTTCAATGCATACCAGCAGACAAGGACTGCATAAAATATAATAGGCTTAACTGTAGTTTCATAGAGCCATGGAGTAACCTTGGAAGAAATGCCCCATATCTCGCTTATTGCCCCTCTGCAGCTATATAGAGCCACTGAAGCCTTCCTTGCCCTTTCGTCGATATTAGACATCGACTTCTGCTTTCTACCAAGAATCAAGCCCAAGTACTTCACCCTGTCAGAAAGGGTCAGGTGAATGCCTCCCAAAGAGGGAGCAATGGCGTGGGCCATTTTAGAGGATATTCACAAAAGTTCCACTCACTAAAAATGCTACATCATCCGCATAGATGATTACCCGGCATTCCCTAATCGCCAACTCCTCTAGCAGGTCGTTTACAACTGCGATGTAGAGAAAGGGCGGAAGGACACCACCATAAGGCGTGCTCTTTGTTAAGCCTGCCTACGAATTCCCTTCCACCGCGACAACTCTGATGCAAGGCCTGCTTTGATCCGAAGCTTGCTCAGGGATCTAACTATTGCCGTCGGTGGTATATTGCTAAAGGCCCTGTATATATAGAGGGAGGCCCCTACAGGGAATTCTTTATGCATGTTTGCCGAATTGAACAAAGCGCTCTCGACCCACCTACACTTGATGTATGCATATTGAGCTCCCGACCGGCGGCCGCGGAGCAGCGCATTCCTGATATGCAGCTCAACAATCCCCTGCATACAACTACTAAATTCATATTGATTAATTTGCTAGAAGAAAAATCCACTTTTAGGTTCATTAAAGAAATTAGCGAGCTGAAGCTCGACAGCAAAATTTGCAATCATCTCACAATAATCTGCGTTTGTTCGGTGGCAAATTTTTACCCTAAAACAACGAATTAAAAATAAGAAAATTATATGCTCTCGTATAAAGATGCTCAAGTAATGTAAGCTAAATATGTCTGAGCTGAGTAACCCAAAGAATACGTGTCCGTATTTATGCTAAGCAAGGTGAAACCAAGGTAAGCAAATAATACGTGAATAAATATTCAAGAAGGCGGTTAAAACAAGAAAAGTTAAACAAATAAGCTCAGCCAAAAAAAAAAACATCGCATCCTACGACAAGCTGCAGGCATACATATTTAGGACCGCACACAGCTTATGCTACTTATGTACATATGTAGGTTAGTATTTATGGTGTCCTCCAAATCGCTTAATACTTTGGTTTATTTGCACAGATTTATTTTGTGTACATATTTTTTCACGCACTTACCAACAACTTTGACAAAGCCGTATTGTGTCTTCGCTGTCACCGTATTTATTTGACACATATAACGGCCCTTATCCTCCTCCTGTATGTTATTGATATGCAGGAACCATGTACGATGTTTATCATGCTTATCATGTGTGACACTAATGCGTGGATTACGTGTGATCACATGATTGTGAACGGTCAATATGGCTGATTGTTCGAAATGCATCCACGCCACCTGCGGGGCGGGTAGAGAGAGAGAGAAAAACATAGACAAAAAAGAGGTGAGTTATAAGATTTGGTAAGTTATATGAATATGTAAAACATATGTATGAATAGGAGGGCGATAAGATGAATACAAATTATGCAGTTGCGGTAGGATATCATAGGAATATTAATCAAGGAAAAAAATGTTAAGCATTTTAGGCACAAAATATTTCTCAAATTTGTCAGGCGAAACGAATGCTGGACATTTACATATTCGACAACATACAATCAGAAATTAAGTTGATAGTTTTGTCTGGGAAAAGTGAGCTTTTTGTTTTTTTTTTTTTTGATACACAAACTTGCTGGCTAATTCAGACTATCCACACTTCAAGTCATAACCCTGCCCCAAAATAGCCCGCATACATTTTCGTCTTTTCTCTCAAACAACACATACACAGCCTGCGGCACTCATACCGCTGTCGTATGCGTACAACTCATATTAATAACGCTCAAGAAGAACATTAGTCGAACGAAAGTTATGTCTTTCCATGCGGGCAGGCGACCCGCTGACACTTAATGACAAATTCCACATACGCCCTGGATGACACTTTAGCTAATGTGGCAACAAAGAATGCCATAAATGTGAAATGTGTGAGTGAGTGTGAAAAATGTGCGACTACAAAAACAAGCTATAAGCAATAAAGTAGTGGCAAATGTGGCGGACAAAAATAACTAAAAGTGAGATGACAAAAATAAAAATAAAATAGAAAAAAAAACCAAACCCCAACTTAGCCACCAAATTGTCCGCATAAGTGATACCATAAGCCAGCATGTGTTGCAGCAGCATAACTTTGTTGTGAAGCCATCAATTTTTATGCAAGATTACGGGCCAAAAAAATGCAGAAGAAAGTAACAAAATTACAAATATACTATTACACACACGCACACACAAACACACGTGAATGCTCAACTAAAAAACAAAACAAAAAAGTTAAGTGAAATAAGAAGAGCGCAAATAATGACGCACAACTTCCGAAGAAATCACATGGCATGGCAAGAATATTTTTCACACCCATTGCACTTGGCGGAATTTGTTGTGCGCTGGAAAAGTTTGCTGCCACATACTTTTTAATGAAATGTCACACGCACTCACACACACACACTTACAGATGCACACATAGACACTAAAACGCACATCATGGAGCAAAGTTGCTGTGAAAATATTTGTGTCAAGCAGCCGTCGAAATGTTTTGCATTGATATTTAATAAATTGCTTTTTATTCGATAAACAAAAGTTGCAAAGTAAAAGCGGCGAGGGTGGTTGGCATTGGAAGGAGGAGTGGGAGTGAAGCAGCTTTGGCGTTGAAACTTCGGCAGCATATGCTGGTGAAAAATTTCGAAAGGATAAAGGGTTAAAAAATGCAAAAGCAAGAAGTTAAGAGACCGCAAAAGGAAAGCGGTTCCTTTAAGCATAGATGTAGTAGTTAGTCAAAGAGGTGCGCAAATGGTTGATGTCTTCTACGCGCATTGCGCCTTGGTTGAGCGTAAATGACTAATTACTTGAAGGACTTGTGTCTGCTTCCAATGTAAGGAGCGGTTCACAACATCGTCGAGTCTCTACATCAACTACAGTTTCCAGTCCATGCCTTTTCGAGGGTGCAGCAACGACATTACCCAAGGTTGTGGTGTCCGATTCTTAGTGAATGAAAGAATGAGGAAAAAAGGTAACGATGTTGGAGAAGGTCATTCGGCACCGATACAAGGAAACGAACTACTTTTCTAGCTATGATGTTCAAAAACAGACCAGGCAGTCTTAAGAGAGGTGTTCAGGCTCACTTTAAAAATGCAAAAAGCAGTGGATTTTGACTCCGAATCTAAAAAAATTCGAAATGCTTCCAATGACGACTCTATTGCTTTCGGTTACTTATTTATCAAGAAATAATACAAACCTTTTCTACGTGTTTTGGTTTTGTTGTTGCGAGAGAAGGAGACGAAGATGACCATAGACGACCCACAATATTCCGTTTTCATTTATACGGTTAGAAGAGATCTATCACTATCTACAAGCGAGGCACAAAGCCTATTGTGATGCCGTATGTGGGGTCAGCAACTTCCCATCGCTCCTCAAATCAAGAACGAAGAATTGTCTACCTAGGGTGGAGAGTTTTCGTCTGGATAGCAGCACGGCACTGGCATAACAGGTGCGGAATCGTTTCCACCTCCTCTTCATATTGACAACTTCTACAAAAGTCATGTGATGGTATGCCTAGTCGATAGCCATGCTTGCCAATTAGGCAGTGTTCTGTTATAACACATCCTAACAAACTGTTATTCTCGGGAATAAGTAGCTTGCAAGTTTGTAAGAGTATTCCTATTTGATCATTTATATCCTCAATAAGGATATTGGTTCCAAGTCGCGCCAATTCATCCATCCACCTTATGTCGCAGTACACCGGAATCAATAACTCCTTTGGGCGAAAAGACTCAGCCATCTCGTTAAGAGATGTGCGGCATTTCATGGCTACCATGGAGGTTGGCGACTGCTTTTTAAGAGATTTTATTGCCGCCCGGCTGTCAATGAAGATGTAGATATCACCTTGGGATATCATGTCACACTTTACCAGTTTTGTGGCCCTGTCTATTGCCATCAATTTGGCCTAAAAAACAGTAAAAGTGAACCGGAAGACGAAAGCTGAGGAAGACTGCCAGGTGTTCGGAGTATACAACCCCACCAATCCTTCCCTCGAGCTTTGCGCCATTTGTGTATACATGGATGGACTGGCCACTCCTTAGGACGTATCGTTTCCACTCTACCCTTGCGGGTAGGAGGGTTGTAAAGGCTATAGTTGGGGCAGGGTTGAGAAGTGCATAGTCTACCAATCCGGGAAGACCTGGAGACTCCATCCTGTCATGATCATGAGTGGTGTATAGCTACTTATTTAGACTGTTCATAAGAATTTCCGCAATGCTTGCGACCTGTTTGCCATTTAGGTCCACCTGAAGAAAGTTCAGTAGAGCACACAGTGCCTTAGATAGACGCAAGCCTTTGAACCATGGTGCTACTGTTTCTTTGCGCACTTTATCTGCAATATCGAGTCCCCAGTTTAGTTTCCTATCTAGTATGGATCCGAGATATTTGGTCTCCTCTTTTACAACGAGAGCTTTTTCCTGTACGGTTATAGCATGCAGGCCGGTTACCTTGAGCTTCCTTGTGAAGATCACTAGGTCCGTCTTTTGGATTTGTTCCCAGTCCTCGCGGTAGTTTGCTAAGAGATTTTTGAATTAGCTCAGTCAAGATTGAGAGGGGTTTTCCCGAGATAGCTATTGCAATACCGTCGGCGTATGCAATTATCTTCCCACCAACGTCTTAAAGTTCTTGAAGGAGGCTGTCTACTGCTATGTTCCCCAGAAGCGGAGAGATTATTCTGCCTGGGGCGTATCCCTTACCAGAAACCATTTTAGTTGCTATTCGCTCGATTATCGAAGTTGCATAAAGGAACACAAAAATACCGTAGATAAGTTGAAGCCAAAAAATGCAGCCACCTCCTGGAACTTTGACATGCAAGAAACAGGCTTCCATAGGAGTGACTTCGCTAAGAAATAAGTTCTACGAGACATGAAGCATTTCCTCACACATGGTAACAGCAAATTTTTTGATCTAAATATAGACTCAGGGCACAGAATCTGTCTTGAAGGCGAAAAGCTTTTTAAGACCGGGGAGTAAGAGGACATACATACTGATCATAGTGCGTTAGACATCGCATCGATAGCTTCGAACTAAGCACCCTTGATTTGGCCCCGAATTAGAAGCTCTCACCGAACAGCCCGGGTGTGTAAAAACAGCGCAACCAACCGTGAATTACATATATAACTGACGTATGTATGTTCAAAGAAATTAATAAAATAGATAAGTTGACAGCCCTAAGAGAAGCACTCTTGTTTTTTTTCGGCCATTACTGGATATCTGATGGCGGAGATATCTGCACAGATGCAATTAATTGATTTAGGTTTTTTATTTATATGATGAGGATCTTCCTTGACGCTGTAACCGCCTGTGCGATTTTATACGATGAGGATTATGAAACACAAATTAGGAGTCCGCCAACTGAAAGCGCACACCAATCACGAATTGTGATAAAAATGAGGAAAAATTTAAAATATTACAACTGATGCGGTTGGAGAATATGAGATGGCTTTCCAAGTCAAATCCTGGTAGAGCAAACTTCACCTCGATTTTGATGAAAAATTTAAAAACTAGTGAGATTTGCTCATACACAAATGCTCTCGTGTCTCTCTCAAACTGGCGAAAACGCTAGACCCAAAATTCGTGCGGCATTCAAAATACTTCTTTGATTCATCTTATTCCTATTGATTTGTCTTCCTCTTCCCACGGTATCTTAATGCTTCAACTTTTTACTGCATCACTCGTACCACAATTGGAAAATTACTTTAACTTAAAATTTTATGTGTGTAAAAATGGGTCCGAAGACGGCCCCTTCCCCCCCAAACAGCCGATATCTCACATACAATATAAGCAGTACAATGGCCTTTAAATATAACCGAAAACATTTTATAGATAAAATTACAAAGAATGTTTAACTAACGAGAAAACAGGGGGATAAATTCCATTATCCACCAATAAAAAGGAAGCAGCATTTAAGGCGCACAAGCCAAGCAAACACAGCCACACTCACACCCACACGCATCCAAAGTCAATGTGTGATTGAGCTGATTAACGAAGTGCGTCAATAAAACTCCAGCGCCAAAAGATTGCTACTTTTATGTACATACGTGGGAGGCAGTCTAATGTGGTACATTGTATGCTATAAGTGTGTATGTGTGTATATCTATATACATATGTATGAATATGTATGTTCTTATCCTTTTACCAATTTTGTATGGCAAGTTGTCAGCAAACGCTCGATGTTCACTTTTTCAATTGCAAATATAAATACAAATAAAAATCAGTGCGTGAACTTGCATGAAGAAACCGTAAAATGAAAAGCAAGCTTGAAAGCAAGGCGCAAACAA